CTGGAAGACCTTGTGTGAGTCCTTTAATTTCTTTAAGCCTCCCTCTAATTCATTGTAAAATGAGAGGATAAATGCCTCATGTTATTATTTAGAGACTTAGATATATTAATAATTTGCAGTCCTAATAACAGAACCTGACACATACTAAGTACTCTATAATGGTATCCCATAAATCAGTAAAATCCAATAAAATCTATCAATAGTAACTGTCAGAAAAACAATATTTTTCTCTTGCGCCTTGGCATCAAGAGCCTCATAGCCACAAAACTATGAAAGCTAAATAAGCATTTTTCTCTCTCAGAGCATTAGGCCTTTTTTTGTTGAAAGTGGGCAGTGGAGGAGTATAAAGTTTTCCTTTTCTGGTTCTTTCTTTGTATGATTTTTGAGAAATAACTATGAAATCTCTAAGATACATCCAAAAAACATGGCTTTTGTAAAAGGCAGTCATAACCCCCAGCCTTAATGATTCTGAATGTCACTGACATGTGGACTCAATAGGCCCTTCTAAATAAAAGAAAAGCATATCAAATGTTAGTCAAGAGCCATGCCCCAAAGTAACAACCAAATTGCATGTTTTAAGTGGCAGGCCATGCCATCCAGAATAAATGCCAAATTTTGGATTAAAGGAATACCTTGGAGTATAGTTACCATTTTTGCTAATCCCCCTGTGTGGCATCATCTAGTACTTGGCCTTTGGTCTTCCAAAGTAAATCTACTTCAGTTAATAAGTTTTGAGGGACTCAAAGGAAGTAATTGATTTTGATAGTTACCAGGGAATAGAATTTGAATGAACTTGAATTTCTATTCAAAATGAATAAAGCCCTAGAACAAAGTATGACTTGGTCTACTGTTAAATTTGCTTACGGGTGAAAGATTTGTCCCTGGGAGTGTAGAGAGACCACTGGGAACTTATATAGGAATACCCAGCAATGTGTAGTGTATCAACATGTGATAGCAAGAGCCACCACTAGAACAAGGAACCATGGACATTTGCCAGAAATTCCAAAGTAATTTAAATTACAGTACCATATACCATTGTTTGGCTCTTTCTTCCCTATGGTAGTTGGCACATCTTTGGTTCTTTTATAACCTACATTGCTTCTTACAAAAAAGCCCTTGAAGATTCCAAAAGAGAGGCAGCCATTTGGTTTACTCACTGGGGAGTCACACAGTCAGAAGGTAGAAACTAATCCTTGGCATTCTGCATCGACCATCCTGAACATGGTCAGGTCTGTGAGGGTGGGGCCCCAAGTCCTGGAATGCTGTCATTATTGGCCCCTTCTTCTGAGGGGCCTTGCAGGACTCTTCTTTCTTTTGGTCTTGGTCTTGTGACTTTTTTTTTTTTTTTGGTTTGATTTGGTACTGGGAATTGAACTGAGGGTTCCTCCACCACTGAGCCATATTCCCAGTACTTTTTATTTTTTTATTTTGAGATAGGGCCTCGCTAAGTTGCTGAGACTGGTTTTGAATTTGAGATCCTTCTTCTTCAGCCTCCTGAGGTCACTGGGATTACAGGCATACACCACTGCACCTGACTTCTTGACTGTTTTAAAATCCTTATCTTTAATGAAATGGAGAAAATTATGTGGATGTATGAATATGTCACAGTGAATTCTACTGTTAGGCATAATTAGAATACACCAATAAAAAGTAAAAATTTATAACTCTTCTCTTTGGCCAGGAGGCTGAGGCATGGTGAGGATGACAAGTTTGAGGCCTTAGCAACTTAGCGAGACCCTGTCTCCAAATTAAAAAAATAAAAAGGTCTGGGAATGTGGCTTAGTGGTTAAGCACCCCTGGGTCCATTTCCCAGTGCTAGGGAGAAGGGCATTCCCTATATATTCAGACTTCATTCCACACATGGGATTTAATTCTCAGGTTCTGAATTCCCTTCATGCATGGTGGTCTGATTTGTGGTTGTGAGACACAAGATCAATTTTCTCTAACATTGGTATTTTATATGTCCTTTCTCACCTGAGTTTTCTTATAACTTCATCTCTCTTTTCAGTTCTGATATTATTTGGTGTTCCCATAGCATTTTATAGCCAAGTTCCTTGTAATCATTTTTAGTAGTTGTACAACAAATTATGAGCAAAGCATGAGTCAGTACAAAACCAAAGAATGAAATGGAGCCAGGTGGAGTAGCATTTGTGTGTAATCCCAGTGGCTCAGGAGGCTGAGGCAGGAGGATCATGAGTTCAAAGCCAGTCTCAGCAACTTAGTGAAGCCCTTTCTCTAAATAAAAAATAAAAAGGACCGGGGATGTAGCTCAGTGGCTAAGTGCCCCGGGTTTTATCACCATTACCTGCCGCCCAATGAATGAAATAGAAAAATCCCACCAAACCCAGCTTCATAATCTTCCTTTAATAAAATTCTACTGTATCATTTCATTTGGTCTCTGATTTCCAAACTTAAGCCTTCATTATCCTGTTTTAGTGGGGGATAGTGCAATATCTACTGCACATATGATTTAACTTGCAACTAAACTATGAATACACTGTGTTATTCTCTACAGTTGCATACCTCTGACTCCCCATGCCAAAAAAGAAGAGGAATGGGAAAAGGGCTTGTTTGAAAACAAAATGTTTCTCAAATATGACTCACTTGAATTTAAAAATTTTGCTATTTCCCAAATGCCCATGCTACTTTGTGTTTTGTAAAACAGGTTTCATATCTCAATGCAGAAATTCTTACTTGCCTTGCTACCTAACACAAATACCTTGCAGAATAATCCTTGGCACAGAGTAGTGCTCTGTAACTATTTGTTGGCACTTAGATTTTTACATTTCTTCTTATCAGGGCATTGTCTGCTCTTAAGCATAACAGTCAACAATGCCAAGTGCTATTGTGTGATTTTTCATAGTCATCTATATAACTCTTTACCTCTCTTAAGATTCAGCCATTTAACAGATTCACCAATGTGGAACACAGCTAAAATAGGAAAATAACTAATGCCTAAGAATAGAGTTTCCTATCTTCTGTTTAAGAAGGCAGGGAAATGTGATACATCTGGGAAATCTTTTTGTCACAAAAGTTTGATAAGATGCAGTACTGGAATCAAATGTAGCAGGGTGACTGTCAGCAAGTCTTTGGCTTCAGTTTTCTTATCTCTTAAATGTGAGCACAGCTTACAGTGATCTTTAAGGCCCCTTCCTATGATCCCATGATTCTCTGGCTACCTCCCTTCTTGAGGCCTGTTTGCTCATCTGTAAAATGAGAGGTGGACGAATATCAAAGTCCTAACAATCTGTGACTTTAAAGAATAAACTTTTAGCTATCCAGAAAATCTTGTTATCCAGAGGGCCATTCCTCGAGGGTATTGGTTAGCCAAGATTTTACTGTACATTAATACATAGTTAAAAGGACTAATTTAATTCCTAGGAGAACATTTGGGACTGATTAAAACTATGGAAAAGTTCTAATTCTTTATAGGGAATGTTGACTTTAGTGTATACAATTACCATCTTGTTGTTTTGTTTTACCGTCTTTTAGGCTAGAGTTCTGTTTGGGATGAGGGTGTGTGTGTGTGTGTGTGTGTGTGTGTGTGTGTGTGTGTGTGTATGCACGTGTATATACCAGATAAGAACCTGACAATGTTAAGTTTTTCTCCTGACAGTACTAATCCCCTGTTCCTGTTCCTAAGGGCACTGTTGATAAGAAGTATTCACAGTAACACAGCAGAGCAGGTGAAGTACATTGCCAGCTACACTGCATCCCAGCATCTGTTTCCTGAAGCAGTATCTGCTTCTGAAAGTCTGTTTGTAGAACTGGTTGATATGGATAGGGAAGAATGCAGTAACCTCTGATAGACAGGAACTTTCAGTCAGCTGCCAACCAGGGATACCTAGCCATGATCCTTTCTAAGCGTTGATGGAAACAAGGGGCAGAATAGAATGGAATCTTCTATGCCCAAGACAATTTCACCTTATACAACAAGAATGTTGGGACCAAGTCCCTTTTCTCTGCAGAGAGTGGCTAGGCTAGTCTGACTTCAGAACTGTTTTCATCCAGGATGCTTCCTTCCCTCAAAACTTTGAGTAGCCCTGTGTGGTGCCATACTGTGTCTCAGTTTCTGCCTGGTGTTCAGGCCCCTCTAAATTCAGGCCACATATACTATGTATTCAACATAATTTCCCCAAATTTCTCAACTCTGTTCTGAAATTTCATGATATGCCCGGTATACTCTCTAATGGCTTTTGTTTATTTCATTGTCTCTACCTGAAAGATCTCCCTTTACTTCTTCTCCACCTAAATCCAATCCCTTTTTCAAATTTAACAGAAGCCTCTCCTCATCCGTCAGCTGTTCCCTGAGCACCTTGTGCTCTACTGCTCCCAACCCTGGAAGGCCTTCACATGCTCCCAAGTTTAAAGTTACTCATATTCTGCCTTGTAGAATACATTACTTGTCTTCTTTGCAGCTTTTGGCATAAAACGGTACACACATTGTACCCTTCTCAATCCATCTTGTTTCAGGGGTTAAGGTTTAAAAGGTGGTCTTAGAGTCAATGTGTTTGTAAAGAACATGTGCCTGTGTTTCAATCTGGTGAAGTCCAGTAATTGTAGTGGCCATAGCAGGTCACCTCCATTACTGTGTCTCATAGCTGATCCTGGAAGGTTATTTATAAAAGAACTTTGAAGTAATTGAGCTATTGAAAATGAGTATGGAGAGTGTGTGTGTATGAGAGATTGGGAAACAGGAAGGTGGAGATTAGGGGAGGAATGGTCATTTCTAGAGTGGGAGATAACATGCAGCTTGGTTGTTGAAGGTCCTGAGATATTAATTCCCACCTCCATCTTCCTCTTTTCAGCACAGATCTTCCATTTATCTGACCTCAATTTCATTTATTTCATTGGAGGCAGGCCAGGCCTGCTAATTGTGATCAGTTTTAACTTATCCATAAATGAAATTCATGGCCAAGCTTTCAATGTCACTTTAGTAGATTTGCAATTTCTTTGACTATTTTAACCCCTCCTCTACTAATTTTCTTTTTGTACATTAGGTAAACCCCACAGCCCAGTGTACCCACGCCCTGTTGAAGATGATCTACTGCTCCCATTGCCAGGGTCTCGTGACTGTGAAGCCATGTTACAACTACTGCTCAAACATCATGAGAGGCTGTTTGGCTAACCAAGGGGATCTTGATATCGAGTGGAACAATTTCATAGGTGAGCAAGCGATTAGCATATTTGTGTTGTTGGAAATGGCTCCACTTCTGGCCACAAAGAATGTTGTAATTGCCAGCTGTGAAATTTCTATTCATTTTAGTATTAGCTATTTAAGGGTTTGCCAGAGCACTGACCATGCTGACCATTCTTCAAATAAAAGTTCCCTTGAGCTAAAGGTGGCATATCTCATTGCATTTGATATAGTGACTACCAATTTTTAATAATAAGAAAGTGTTTTTTTGATATTTTCTGCCTAAAGGTCAGTTTTAGTTGTATATCATAGGTTTGTATCCATGTAAATGCTGGCATACAGCCCTCTCAGAGCTATGAAAGTGGCTTTTCAAATGGTCTGTCACACTGCAACCAGGTCTCCTATACTTTGCCCAATATCCATTTGTTCTTTGGATTAAGAGAAATATAATTATGAAAATGTAAGGGTTTTGTTTCTATAGCAAATTTAGCAATAGTAGACTGCTCTGGTGAGCATGGAAGCACCTTTGCCCTGACAATTTAAGGAATGAGTGCTCCTTCATAGGTCTTCCACTTGGGAAACCATTACTAGAACCCGGACCACACCCAACCATGGTCAGTTTCTGAGATGGCTAATTATGATTTTGTGGGAAAGACAAAATAAGCATAATTTAAATAGCCATCCATCAACTACCTTGATACCTACTTATTGCATATTAGCCCTAAAACATCAGTGACAGTGCTGAAACTCCTAATGCTGCGTGTTAGTGGGACCTTTCACACATACTAACACCTCACAAAAACAAACTCATTTTTCCACTCCCAAGTCACATTTGCATAATTGCAGAATTTGAGTGTCTTATAGGCACCTATTTTTCAGTTATTTGTCCTCATGGGAACATGTGTGCAGTTTACTGCCCTTTTTTTTTTTTTTTTTTTGGTGGGGAGGGTTGTGGTTGGGGAATGCTTTTTAGTCTGCATGAGAGCTAATTACCATATTAACTCTGTTTGAAAGTGCATCAATAAATTGGCTCCAACAGATTCTTGAGAACACTGACACAGGAAAAAAAAAGATGTGAATATTAAGCACTTCAGCACAATTGTAGCCTAAATAGCTCAAAGCTGGAAGACCTGAAAAAAAATCTTCTACACACAGAAAAGCAGAATCCCATGAAAGGGAAAGCATAAGACCAGCAAATACACACAGGAACAAATGGCACATCATGCCCAGAATGAAGCTACAGGAGAAATTGTTGCTTCCAAATATTTTTCATGGAAATAATAGCTCATGGCATTTCCAGATGTAAAGTTGATGCCCCCCACAAACACCACCCGTCCCACCCTTATCCCCACATCAAAATGTCAGGTTTTCAGTTCACTTTTGCTAAGTTGGGTTTATAGAGAAAGATGGTAAGCCTTTCCACGTTCCCTATAATCAACTGTTTCTCTGGGCCAAAGAATAGAATTCACCATACAGTACAAACTGTTGTATGTCAATAGCAACCCAGCTTTGCTAATTTCCTACATATACATTTGGTATGGAGAACAGAAGGGAATTTCCCTCATACTGTTCCGTTATTCTGACATGTCCAGCCACAGTTGCCACAAAAGTCCTCATGTCCTTGTATTAAAATACAAATTCTTCTGTGTGTTTTTCCAAGAGTTCACAAATCCATATCAAATCAGAACCATATTCTGGCTTTGTAATTAATGTTTTCAGCCAGTTACTCTTAAACAAGAAGGCCTTAGTTGCTGATGTTGTTCCTGTAGTGTATTTTAAAAATCACATGTGTTATCTTGAAGAAGTGCAATTAAACCCAAGTGGAAAATGATGGGATTTCTGAATTGATTTTTCCCCATTTTCAGTGATACCTTTTGGAGGAATGAGGTATGTAATTGTATCTAAACTTCATTTTTTGTGAGTACACTAGTCTTTATTTCTAATAAGCTGATATAAAAGGCCAGGAGTAATAGCCATTGTTAATCTCTAGTGCTTTTTCATGAATTTTTCACAAGGGTTTAATTAATCTGCTCTGTGGTTGTAGAATTCAGTCCCAATTTACATGCCTCTGCTGTAAATTCTTTCTTCCTTGTCGTCTTCTTCTCCCCTCTCTGCAAGGAAGTTTTCTTTCCCCTTTAAATGACTGCAGTTAATGAATGGTCAAGGGCTTTTTTTTTTTTTTGCCCCTTCTTTAAATCAGATCTTGGAGTTAAGTCGGGGAAACTGCCTTTTGTTCTTCCAGTCAGGTCGGGAGGCTGAAGATGTGGGTTTCTGATTATTGGCAGCACAATGCAAAAGGAATTGCTTTCCCTAGTGAGAAGGGGATGCTTTGTTGCACGGCAGAGAGTGGGGGTGGTGGCAGCAACTCAATTCCAGTATCCTGAGCACTGCAACTGTGCAGTTGGACTAGACCCATTAAAAGACTAAGGGAGGATTTTCTAAAGCTGCCTTCTTGCTGCCATGCCCACTCTGTCCTCCCAATTGCATCTGCATATTGCCATGAATGGTGACCCTTTAGTAAACGTGAACATCTTGTCCGTCTTTATCAGGATTGATCCAAATAGTTGAAATACCTTGGAACTCACCTGAAACCTTCAGTTTGAAAAATAAACCAAATTCCTGCCCCCTCACTCATAAGACTCACCCAAAAAAATCATTTCTAGAGAATCACAAATTATTCTTAGGTGCAACTTGTTCTCCATCAGGTGCTGAAGCTGTGTTACATTCATTTGACTCAGAGCCAACCCTATTAACGTCACATGTTGCTGCCAGTGGGTATTTAGTATTGGGGTTTCTGGCAGGGACACCAGCCAGTTCCTGGCAGGAGGCAGGAGCCAGTCAGAGATCCCACAAATAAGAGACCTGTGGTTTATATCAACCAGAAGAAAACCAAAACACCAAGCTAACCATCTTTGAATTTCTCTTGGGGCTTCTTATAAGGGCTGGTTGCTGTTACAGGATAGCCAATCGTGACTTCCTGCAGGGGTTAGCAGCAGCTTTGGCTCCCAGGCTGTGGGGTGCAGGCAGAATGCATCCTCAGTCGCATTCTTCAGCTGCGCAACACACAACGCCATGGCACCGGCCCCAACAAAGGCCCGGCTTCACTTTCCATTCCCAGGCCCTTGTGTATGGCCGGCAGGCTCAGAGTTTACAAAGACACCAAACAGCCAGAAGAATTGGGGTTTATGTTTCCTTTCAGTCTTTCACAAACACATCAGTGATCTGGCCTTTTCTTGCCACTAGGGGAACAAGTAGTTACCAAATGCACTGTTTTTTCTTGTTTAAACCTCTGCATTTTGGATGTTTATTATCTGTCTATTCATAATATTTTTATTTGGAGCCAGCGACTTCTTCTTGGCTTACGAAAGAATGTGCTTTCTGTACATGGCAGCCCTGATGTTTGACAATGATGAACACATTTAAGTTGTGCTCCACTTGTTTACAAAAGTCTCCTTTTGCTCATACATCAAAAGCATTTTTCTCTCTTCTAGCACAATGGTATATTCATGCTGTCAGCCTTTACTTCAAGGTTAGAAGCGTCACTTTATTGGCGCTTACCACAATGCCATCTGAAACTTCATTTGTTATTATTTTTTTAAAAATACATTTCATGGAAATCTATTTGTTGTTTCTGACATCAGAATTGTAGTTCAGAGAAATGAGCTTACACTTTAAAATGCTGTGTAGCATTTGATCTAGGTGGAGGGTAAAAGGTTGATGACCAAATTCTGTTTCATCCGTGTGCTAAGCTTAAACTCCTTTCCATTAGAAAGCTCAAGTAGAAGCCCAGCTGGGGGCTGCAGTTGAGAAGGAAACACAATCTTCTGGAAAGTAGCCCTTCTTTCTATTAATTGACCTTGGACTACCTGAAGACAGGGGATCATGGGGGTCTACACTGTTTTTCTTGCCATGCATTAAGCACTAGAGTGTCAATGAGGAAAATGTAGTAAAAGTTCACTGCTTGTCATTAATAAAATGTCCTTTTTCTCTTTTGGGGGTTTCATTTCCACGTTCTTCTAATTTTGCACAAACAGGTATCAGGCAATAATACTAACCCTCCTAATCCCAGCAATCATGAATGGTAAGGAAACAAGTACAGTATAATTTGTTTAAGGGATTTGAATATTTACCGGAACATGCTAGGCTCCTTCAAAGCCTAAAAGTGACTTGCAGGTAATTGGAGGTATACATTATGAGCACACAATCTTTATGTACTCTCTTACGTTGTCTTTTCACTTGAATAAAAAAGAGGTACGTGTTTTACTTTAAAATAAATTGAGGCTTTTATATTTCAAATGGGAAGTTTATCTTAACACCAAAATTGCTTTATTTGAAGTTTCATTATTTGGAAACTTACTAAAATGCCTAGAACACTTTCATTTGTATTTTTCGACTATGCACTTGAGGATCTGAAAGTTTTTATTAAAAAAAAATGAAAGCAAAGAATTGGTATGCCACGATTTTAACTGATTTGTATTTTCAACATTTGTAAATGGAACCTGAAATGAAAAGATCCTAGGGAAGTCTCTGGGAGAACTGACATGTTATTCTCCCTCACACCTTAGGTTTATCAGCTGGGTGCTAGCTCAGAGCCTTATAGTGATAGCTGTTGACACATGAAGGAATAAATAATCAGTATAAAGAAAGGTTCCTGATTGCGTTACCTTGCTGTAGAACAAAGCATTCATCTGTCCATTTCGCACTTTAAGGAGCTACTGATACTTAATGACTCAATACAGTTTGGTGTAATGGAAATAGATAGAAAAGTAAGAATTTATTATGATGAGTGCCTTCTCCCACCAACCCCATGCAAGAAACAAAGGCAAGAAAATTATCAGATGTATCACCTAAGGCTGAACTAATGATTTACTTTTTATCCTGTGCTGTTCCCCAAATCTCTTATTAGATGCCATGCTAATGGTTGCAGAGAGGCTGGAGGGTCCTTTCAACATTGAGTCGGTCATGGATCCCATTGATGTGAAGATTTCTGATGCTATAATGAACATGCAGGAGAATAGTGTGCAGGTGTCTCAGAAGGTAATGAAGGCAGGATACTGAAGAGGAGAGCTGGAAGTCCCCCTGTACTCGCCATATGACTTCCCTAATATGACCACGCTTATTCCAATGCAGGTTTTCCAGGGATGTGGACCCCCCAAGCCACTCCCAGCTGGACGAATTTCTCGTTCCATCTCTGAAAGTGCCTTCAGTGCTCGCTTCAGACCATATCATCCTGAGGAACGCCCAACCACAGCAGCTGGCACTAGTTTGGACCGATTGGTGAGTGCTTTGCAGGGATGGACATGTTTAATGACAAAGAACTGAAAACATTTGCTCAAAATGAATTTTTAGTTGGAAGGCTTACAAACGGTTTTTTCAGGTATAACTTTTCAAGAAAATTGTATGAAGATGGCATTTTCTAGCTCAGAAAGTTCCTATATAGTCAATAAAATAGGATGCAGTAAGTCTCATCTCAAAACTTCCCTTCAGTTTGGCTGTATTTATTTACTGAGCATCTACTATGTGCCTATCACTAGGCTACACACAGGGAGGCTCAGAGGAATAAGTCCTTTTTTCAAGAAGCCCCAACAAAGGGGAAGAGGCAGATGGACCAGGCTTTCTAACATAAGGTGATATATGGTAAATGCTATGATAGGAAAAGAGTAGTAGAATATAGGCAGATTGCTTTATACAAAGCAATGTGCTATAAAAATATAAGAAAGTGTTAACATAGTTGAAGGAGGGAACACACGGTAGAGAGCCTGGGGAGATATTAGTGGGTGGAGAGGAAGAGCATTAACGGCAAGTTTCCCAGAGTGGATAATACGCAAGCTTGATCATGACTGTACAATCTGTGGGTGAAGAGACTGTGTATTATCATTGTATCTACAGGGCACAGGGCATGGTGGGCCTGTAGTTAGGAGGTAGAGTGGGCAGTGGCTGTAGGCAACTCTTTCAGAGTTTACATTTCAAATATTCATTCCTTTGTGTGATTCTGTACTTCAAGCTACAAATTTGATCTGCATATTTTTCTTCTGACTACAGTTGAAATTGAAGTACATAGCACTCTGGAGATAGTTAGGAAAATCAGAAGGCTCATCCGTAGGGAGATTTGTGTGGTTTTACAGAAGTCTTTTTTAAATGTTCCTAATTAGGTTACTGATGTCAAGGAGAAACTGAAGCAGGCCAAGAAGTTCTGGTCCTCCCTCCCTAGCAATGTTTGCAATGATGAGAGGATGGCTGCAGGAAACGGAAATGAGGATGACTGCTGGAATGGGAAAGGCAAAAGCAGGTGAGCTACCATTGAGTACATGGTAGGCCCCCCTCTTCCTAGGAGACTGGGTGACCTTCAGAAAAGGGTCTCCCAGTTTATAGTGGAAGCATCAGGAAGCAGTTCACAGTAGGAAGCAATAACATGGAAGGTTTCTAGATGTTCTTAGAAATGGGCTTTGCAGGGGCTGGGGATGTGGCTCAGCAGTAGAGCGCTCATCTAGCACGTGCGAGACCCTGGGTTCAATCCTCTGTACCACATTAAAAAAAAGGTATTGTGTGCAACTACAACTAAAAAATAAAATATTTTTAAAAAGGGCTTTGCAGTAGAAGTGTTGGAAAGGTGATCAGCTACTTACAAAGAGTACTGGGTCAAAAGTTTGACAGTGGTTATATTCTAGCTTTAGGCTGTTCCAATTAGTGTTATTATTTTTTAAAAAAAACAAAACAAAACATGTAATCCTCAATGGCCTGGTCTCATAAAGTTCCAATTCTCAAAAGGTCTCCTCCTCTTTCTTGGTGATGGCCTATGTGCCCTTTTCCCCACTGCACCACACACCCACACACTCTGTAACTTAGATAAGTACCCATTCTGAAGGCACTTTACTCTGACCCACCAACCTCCACGAAGAAGACAACTTTGAAAAAGGCCATGGTCAAATTAGAAAAAGAAGATACACACACAAGATAAGGAAAAATTAAAGTTCATTATGAAGAACTTCCACTTAATCGTACTCTGTGTAGATACTAGTATCTGGCAGAAATCTTGGCTGATCTCTTATCTTTTGCTTTACTGATCATCTTAATGGGGTCATTTCTCATTTTAGGTACCTGTTTGCAGTGACAGGAAATGGATTAGCCAACCAGGGCAATAACCCCGAGGTCCAGGTTAACACCAGCAAACAAGACACCCTGATTCTTCGTCAAATTATGGCTCTTCGGGTTATGACTAGTAAAATGAAGAATGCTTACAATGGGAATGATGTGGACTTCTTTGATATCAGTAAGCCTTTGCAGTTTGAAAACATGAGTTGTTCTCACATGCCTTGTGATGAGAATAAGTGGAATGAAATCTCTTATTTATTTACTTTTTTTATACACAGGTGATGAAAATAGTGGAGAAGGAAGCGGAAGTGGATGTGAATATCAGCAGTGCCCTTCGGAGTTTGAGTACAATGCCACTGACCATGCTGGGAAGAGTGGCAGTGATAAAGCTGACAGTGCTGGTGCCCGTGCAGGGCCACAGCCCTACCTCCTCATCATCTTCTGTGTCTTGTTCCTGTTTATGCAGAGAGAGTGGAGATAATTCTCCAACTCTCAAAAAAAAAGTGTTCCTCATCAGAAAGTTAAAAGGCACCAATTATCACTTTTATACCATCCTAGTGACTTTGCTTTATAAATGAATGGACAACAATGTACAGTTTTTACTATGTGGCCACTGGTTTAAAAAAATGCTGATTTGTTTTGTCATTCAGTTTTGGGGGCAGAAGGGACTTGTACGTTAAGCTGGTCCCTGTTCCTCCAAAATCATGTTAAACGTGGCTAACAGTGTAGGTACAGAACTGTAGTTAGTTGTGCATTTCTGATTTATCGCTCTATTGTTTGTTTGTTTGTTTGTTTTTTCCTCATTTTGTTTGTGGGTTTTTTTTCCAATTACAATCTCACCTTGTTTCTTACAAGAAAACCAGGGTCATTTCTTGGCATGTAACATGTACGTATTTCTGAAATATTAAATAGCTGTACAGAAGCAGGTTTTATTTATCATGTTATCTTATTAAAAGAAAAAGCCCAACAAGCAGTAAAATTTCCATTTATCCCTGTTATTTTAGCTGCCTTATCTGGAGAGAAGCAGAGGTGATTTGGGGATTTTTGTTATTATTAAGTTAGGACAGAATGTGAAGGCACAAGTCTGGGCCACTTGTCAGATTGTATTCAAGCATCTGTACAAGAAGAAGGTTATACTTCATTTATAGCTGGTGATTGGAAGAGACTGCAGACTATCCATTTTGGTTGAGTTGATTTGCCTAAGTTAAGACCACATGTCACTCTGTTTCATGAATCTTATGCGTAGAGTGTAGCCTATCTAAAAAAGATTCTTGCTGTAGTCTCCCTTGGAAGATAAAAGGCATTCATGGAGTCACAGTTATCACATGTTCACACTTGGGTTTGTGGGGAAGTCTATTTTTCTTTCAATCAGGCAAGTTAGAAAACCACCCTGTACAAGTTTTCATGTCCACACTGACCTTCTTTAATTTTTTATCCCAGGGGCAGCAATAATGACCCACATTCTCATTTGGTGCCCCCTTGTCAGAATGATGCAAGTTTCAAACCCAGCTATATAAGGAAGTTTTCTGGGAGCTAGCTAGAATTGGGGTACAGCCTGGGCTCAGGGAATACCTGTAAACACTCGAGCAAAGATTTTTGTCTGTGCGTGTGTATTTGCATTTATTTTTGGATTCCATTTTTTAAGTAAGGGTGTCTGATTTGAGCCTTTTTTCTTGCCCAGCCCCCTCTGATCAGTAAAGCAAGGACTTGCTATGGTTTGCAGCTATATGCTCACCATACCAGCCATGGAGCCCCCTCAAGGGGGGTGTCCGGATTTTTTTTCATGTTTTTTTGGGGAGGTGGGGAGGGATGGGAATAGGTAGAGCTAAGAAGACCACATCTTAGGTGTGACTCTTAGCCATGTGGGTGAACTGGCAAAGGCCATATCTGTCGTCCCAGGCCAAAGACTGACAACTGCCTTGCCCCCTTAGGACCCCTTTCCTTGTGTTTTACCAAATGACAGCTCATAAAACTATGAGAATGTAACAAATCACTTTAAAGGGGTGCCCTTTCAGAAAGACTGAAATTCTGCAAGTCTCTTCCTGCTCTACACAGCCATTAAGATCCCAAGTGATTCTACAGAACCGAAAACCCACAGAGAAGTCGTTTGTGTTATTGTTCAATCTTCAGTTGTAAGAGTAATTCTCTATTTTTATATTGAAACATAATTACTTGATAGCTCAGGGTCTACATTTCATTCAACTTTTTACACCAAATTCTGCAGAATGGTCAATAAAATATTGGGGGCTGTTGTAAACAGAGGCTTAATTTTATTAGAAGTAGCCAGTTATTTATTAAAGCATGATGTTAATAAAATAGGCATATTCTGGCTGGTGTGTATAAGTGTTTTTTTTTTTTTTTTAACAAATCACAGAGGACATAAAATTGAAAAGGCACTCCATTTATGTATGAGGAAAAATAGATTGTAAATAGCTAAGCTGCCTTGAGAGAACTTGGAAAATGTGCTGATACTTAGTAACTACCTCAGTTGTGAGGAATTTCCTTTTTAGCTTAGACTGCTATTACTTTTACTTGGTAGAAATGAATCTGGTCTCCAAAATATGGCTCAAAGAGTTATCCCCATAGACCTTGTTAGATTGTTTTTAATTTAAAACCTTGAACTTTGTCCAGCTGTTTTCTTTCAGTCAAGTTCTCTAAACCAATAACATTTTCCGAATTAAATATTCTTGAAGGTTCTTTTGGACTCTTACTGATTTGTTTTCTTTCTGTGCATTTTCCCCTGTTATCCTTTTATTATTTAAATTGTCTCTTGCTTTTGAACTTGAACTATGAAATAAACAAATCATAGACTTTTCCATTCAGGTCTGACTGGATAACTCTTGGCTTCTAACCAGCTGGCAGGCATACCCTCACCCATCCCACCCCACCCACCCCCCAAAAAAAAGAATAAAGGCAAGTTGAATGTTTTAAAGCCTTAAGAGTTTAGAGTATGAGGTAGAATAAAAGCCTTGTTAGGAGAGGACCTAACTTCCAAAGTTAATAGCATGTGAATGGGTTGTGTTTTACAAAGTAATTTATAAATTATTTTTCTTTCAAACACTTCACCCACTCTGTACCTTCAGAAAAAGCATTTTATGACTCTTAGGTTTATGTTTTATTTTAAAAATAGTAATTAACACCTTTTTTTGTGGTACTGGGGATGGAACCCAGAGCCTGTGCACGCTAGGCGAATGCTCTACCACTGAGCTATAGCCCTAGCCCTAACACCTATTATTTTTTAATAAAAGAAAAAGAACTGTAAGTATTTGATTGGCACTTTTAAACTTTAGAGTGTTAGAAACCTAACAACAGTTTACATGAGTAAAAATTGTCATTTGTGATCACAGAAGCAAAATTAAAATGGGAGTATAACGCCGCTACTCAAAATTGTACTTCCTCTTTTGTGTTAGCAGAATATGTCTACTTACATAACTATTAAAGAGTAATAATAACAGCAGTATCAGCTAGAGGTGGTTTTGTGTGTGTGTGTGTGTGTGTGTGTGTGTGTGTTATCTCACTATTAAGCAAATATGAAAATACAACTTCCTACCTTTTTCAAAATGAGACAAAAACTCCAACTTCAAATTTAGTGAAGAAAATGTAAATCTGTTTTCCATGATATACTTTAGGAACACAGGTTTTTCTACATTTAAACTTCAAATTCTTCTAAAAATCCTTTTGAAGAAAATCCTTTGAAAAATATCTGAAAGATAACATGGCAATAGGATTCAAGTCCATCACTGAGACAAAGGGCATAAAATATTTACTTGTCTACTTAAGTTTTTAGTCAAGTAATATATTGATAGGGTTTTAAAGCCAAAACACATGTAGCCACTGGCCCAGTTTCCCCACATTCCAAGTCAGTGTTTTAATTGCCTGTGTATGTCATCTCTCAAAGTTTCTTTATGCATTTGCAAACAAATATCAATATTGATTTTTCTTCTTTTTTTATACAAAAGGTAGTCTTTTATGCACTGTAATGTCCTATTTCTTTGGGTTAGTTAAAAAGGAATATTGGAAGTGGGAACCCCTAAAGATACAGATGTATAGTTCAGAATGTAGAATTTAGTTTAGAATTCTATTCTAAAGCTTACCTGCTTGAAGGATCACAATTTGATTTTTACTGTATGTTATCCCAGATTAATCTAGGTAGTTTTTCAAGAAACATTGACCAGAATAAGGAGAAGTTTGGAATTATGGTGCCATAATGCCAGACTGCAAGTTGGAAAGCCCTCCGTTTTTGTTAGTTCAGTCTTTGTAATTAATTTTCCTATTGTTCCTGGGGAAGAAGACATTGACCAAAGCCATTGGGAAGATCCTCTTAAAGCAGCACATTAGTATCACTAGGAATACTTGGAAATGGATTAGAGGAGCTGTTCTGACTAGGAGTGTATGGCATATTCTTTTAACCCAAAGTACTATTTGTGTGTGTGTGTGTGGGGGGGGGGCGGTTCTGGGGATTGAATCCAGCGGCACTCCACCACTGAGCTACATCCCCAACCCTTTTTGGTCTTTTGAGACAGTCTTAATTAGTTGCTGAAGCTGGTCTTGAACTTGTGATCCTTTTGCCTCAGCCTCCCAAGTGCACCACCACCCCTGGCAAGCATCAAGTACCCTTCATGGTTTCTCTATCCTGGAGGCCTCAAAGCAGCATCAGTCACCACACAAAATGGAGATGAGACTATTAGGAAGCTGTGTAACTAGATCTTGGTGACTGTGAATTTTCTGTGCAGTGGGAAGGAGTTATCAGAATATGCAAGTAATTTTTCCAAGTTCAGTTTTTTAGCTGGTTGCAGTGGTGCATGCCTATATTCCCGGTAGCTTGGGAAGCTGAGGGAAGAGGATCACAAGTTTGAGACCAGCCTAAGCAACTTAGTGAGACCCTGTCTCAAAAAATAAAAGGCTGGGGAAATGGTGAAGTGCATCTGGGTTCAGTCCCTAGTATCCAAAAAAAAAAAAAAAAAATACAAGTTTGGTTTTCAGGTTTGAATTTGAAGGATCAATGTTTGAAGAGACTTCTGGGTTCACCACTAATCCATGAAATCTGTACAAGTCCATTTCTTATCATGGGGATCTACCTGTGCCATTAAATGCACATTTCACTGTACTGTTGGCATTTTTTTTTTTTTTTTTTTTTTTGAGATGCAGGTCTCTATGTTGCCCAGGGTAGCCTTGAATCCTGGTCTCAAGTTATCCTCTTGCCTCAGCCTCCCAAAATAGCTGGGACTGTAGGTGGGTACCACTGCACCTGGCTTCTTTTGACATTTTTAACTGGTAGAAATTTTGAAAATAAGAAAAAAAAGCACAGCGTTGTTGGAAAGAAAGAGATCTTTATGCATCAATCCTACCAAGTAAAATCTGATAAAAGATAACTAGTATGGTTCCAGAGTAAAGATAAAGGCACATGTGTGATCATCCAAGAGGGTCCATATTATTCTGAATCCTTGGTTTTTTGCATGTTAGTGTTAAAAGGCATCTATGGATACACAGGCACCTTCAGTACATACATGTATTTATTTATTGTGTATTTTCCAACACTTAATCCCAGGTAGGCCTTACCCTGTCACTTATGGGCTGCCTTTCCCTAGCTGTCAATGGTGTATGCTTAGGGAATGTAGACTAATTTTAATAGTAGCCTAAGGGAAACATAATTAGGAAGGTAAGTCTGCCAGGAAAAAAAATATATACACATATAAAATGCATTCCAGAGCCCAAATAGAATTTCTTAGACTTACCACTGCTTAGGATTTGCTGACTATAACCTACTGTTGATGGTGACTCATGGTACAGGGCATTTTGGTGCCAGGTTGTCCACAAAGACATAATCATGGTCAGTGGCTGATTTTCACAACCTTCTTTCAGTGCATTTGTGTTTAAAAACCTTTTGTGCCATTGTTCTTACTTCTTTTAAAATGGAATGAAAATGGTTTTTACTCTGCTGTTTCCGTGCTGAATACTTTGCAACAA